TCGTCTCATACAAAAGAGCATTTCAGATGATGCTGGTACACTGGAACTGCTTCACAATGCGGACATTCCACGCAGGATGATCCTGTTCTTCACAGATTTGACTCATGGTACACAGCCAGCATTGGCTGGAGGTGAAGCATCGCATTCTTCGAACAGACTGGCCATGATTCATGCAAATCTCAGTCAACTTCGTTTCACTGTCAACGACCAGACGCTCTTTGACAACCCGCTCAAGTTCCAGTGGGATGTGAGTCGTAATACTGAAGGGCAATACTTCTACGATTACAACAAATCCTCCTACCTGCGTGGCTACAATCTGGTTCAAGACTTTTTCGGCAAGACGTATGGAACGCAAATCCCCATCACCGCTGCAGATTACTGCAATCACTACTTTATGGTGCCTATCAACTTGAATCTGGATCGGACCACAGACAATCCAAGATCGAGAGGAAATCTGTCCATCGACTATCAATTTAGCGACGTGACAAACGCCCCCGTGAGGAGACCTAGCGAAAATGGTGCCTCGATCAAAGTCAACCTTCTCTGCATGGACAAGTACTTGTACACCATGAGCAAAGATGAAGGTATCAAAGCCGAAGTTGTATGAATTAATTCCGACCTAGTAGTAAAAGGGCATCATGGAAGGTGGTGACCTGGAGACCAGACATCGTGTCTACGGTGGTGATTTGAAAACATCGAGTCGACAACACGGTGGATTCTTCTGGAAAAAGAGCTTCTGGAAAAACCTAATCGGTGCTGGACCGGATGAGATGGAAAAACAGATGGCGGAACCCACGACAAAACAAGATGCAATGCAACGCTGTGGACTTGGACCCCTGGCTGCCATGGCAGGAATGACACTTCTTCCCATGCTTTTGGGGAGAGGAGAGTCCGGAGACATTGTGGAAGCGCAAATGAAAACAGCTTACAACCCTGCCATGCACCGAGGCGGTCTAGCCATTCCACCAGGATTAGCCGCCAAGGCCATACCACTCCTGACGAATCTGGCTGCTCCCTTGGCCATGGGTACCATGGCATCACTGGGTGACAACGTAATGGATAAAATATTCGGCAGAGGAGTAAGGAAGGGAAGCTCAGCAGGTGCCATGAAGCGCACTAAAAGTCGTCGTCGTCGGCATGCACCGAAGAAGATTCGTCAACGAGCATCTCGAAAAACCAAGAAGCCAGCTCGTCAAGTTCGTTCCAAAGGCCGCAGTGCACGAGGAATAAAGAAACAAGGAAGGGCCTTGTTCAAAAAACTAGGACATCGTGCCCTCGACGAAGCTTCATCGTTCCTGTCTGCACCTCGTAGATCCCTAACCCGTCCTGAAACTCCATTTGCTCAAAAAATTCGACAGAACATTAACAGTGCAGGACCGTCTTCTATGAGTTCCGCACACATCGGTCCATCCTACAACATCTGATCATGGACTTTATCTCGCTCCTTGGACAGGAAATCGGGAGGAAGAAAAAGACTAGTCCCGTAAGGAACGACGATGTTCCGACCACGGCCACTGCTCGACACGGGCTGCACATTCCTGGTCTTCAGTTCGAGTCTAAGGATTGGTTCACGGAAATCATTCCTGCTCTGAAATCCTGGGGTCAAAACGTATTGTTTCTGGGACAGAGCAACATGGGTAAATCCTACTTTCTCATCAAGCTCCTGAAACGCGTGCAACCTGAGCGTATAGTTGTCATCTCCAACACGCCGGCCGATCAGTATCGTCTCCCAAGCCTCAAATCCTTCAAGCATTACAGCACCATGCCCGAGTGTATCGAAGACATGGATCTCCAGCCTAACACCTATGTGATCATTGATGACATCAGAGTGATGGGTTTGAAGCACGGCAGTCAAAGAGAGTGTCTCTACAAGTTCTTCACCATGTACAGTCATCATCATAAGTTGAACGTGTTCTTTCTCTCTCAGAGCTTTGATAACATTAAAGACATGAAGATCAATGCAAACTTTATGTATCTATTTCGCTTCACTGATAAAAGCAATATCAAGCGTTATCTCAATACTCTGTTTGGTGGTCTGTGCACGAAGTCATCCATTATCTTTAGATTGTATGAGAAGTTATTGGCGGTGTGTCGCAGACCTATCCTAACCATTGATTGCTCTTCTAATCAGTACTACACGTATTGCGAAGACACTGCATTAAAGGTGACTTTTGAATAAAAACCTCGTTGATGTGCGTGTTTAGCCGAAAAGTTAGCCGAAAAGTTAGCCGAAAAGTTAGCCGAAAAGTTAGCCGAAACATTGAAAAAAAATTCCAATCATGAATAAGAATGGAGCATCTTACGGTGAAATTCTCAAATGGGCTACCGAGCAGTATACAGAGGGTGGGGTCCAGAAAGGGATCCTTCTCGATACCCAAGCGTAAAAGGTTGCAAACCTTGCAGTTTATGTCGAAACATCCTCAACACATCCTCAAGAAGAGAGTAAATTCGTGGGAAGTTCTCGGTATACCACCACTCATGCGGCAAAAAGGAGGTAATAACTAAAATACCTACTTGAAAAGCGTCAAGAAAGTTCTTTCCCAAGTGCCAGATCACAGTTTGAGCACCTCCACCCTGTTGGAACTGCAAGCTGATCCGCGAGTAAAGCGTCTATATGACACCCACTTCAAAAACAATCCCGATCACATCAGTTACCCGTCTGTGAGAAATGTGATTGCATCCAACATACTCAACTATGATTCCACTACCGATCAAGTTCGCGATTCCGTTGCAGATGTCAGGAAGAAGAGAAAGGCACCTTTAACATCAGTGCCTTTCAATCTATTACAAGACCACGAATTTGACCGATGGATCCTACAAATCCTGGACAGTTTCCTCCGACATACAAATATACCGGCAACCTTTTTGAAGAGCAACTATTTCACAAGCCGATCACAACTGCTGCAACTCTACGATGAAGATCGACTGAGGTTCAGGAGTCGGGTGGAAGCGGCTGCGGATGCCCTGAAGACGCAGACGATGAACGACTACACTACTCTGGTCAACGAGACGAATCGCATCTACATGTCCAGGTACCCGTTTGCAACCATAGCGGGTGCGGTGGGAATCCACAAACATGTCGATGGATTCCTTCGATCAGAACGAAAGATTCATGAACTAGCCACCCTAGTGCTAGCTGTACCAGGATCGCAGCTCAAGTTTCAAGATCTCAACGATATGACTTCTACGTATGGTAGAACAACTGAAGCAAAATTGATCCATCCCGAGCATTTCATGATCAGAGCACAAAAGGTGATGGTGGACGATGCATCATTCATTCAAAAGGTTCTGAAGGATAAAAGCAGGATCACTCGTATCATCAAGGATATCCTGAGTGGACGTTCAATGTGATCACGTGCGCGAAAATTTTCAGGCTATGATCAAGAATGGACTACCCTCTCAGCAGTGCCGACATCAAAGGAAGATTGAATGGTGTTGGAGGGTTCGTGGGGTGTACAAGTTACGACCTCTTACCACCCTTGAACAATGGAGACTTTTGAATCGTCAACACCGACAACGTTCTACCGGTGTACGATGCACCAGAAGGTGGACATCATTGGTTGACCGTGTGTCGCGAGCAAAACGTGATCCTGGTTTTTGACAGTTTCGGACGCAGTCTATACACTATGGAGCAAGATTACACTGAACCTGCACTGTGCGATTTCTTTAAAGAAGCCTATGCAGACTGTAAGATCATCACCAACACCCAAGCCGTTCAAGACAGAAGCACAGCAGTATGTGGATGGTATGCCATATTGATGGGAAAGCTATTTTCCAAATATGGTCTGGATGAAGCACTTCGAACTTTCCGAAGAGTCTTCGATGAGGATGAAAAGCTGGAAAACGATCAACTGGTTCTCAGTTTAGGTGCCTTGCGAGGTGGTGGAGCCTTGTGGGATACGAAAGTGCAAAAAGCACTTCATGATGGAAGACAGAAGAAGAAGTCGCAGTCCACACCATTCCACACGCAACTGGCTAACGAATTGCACAAACCCAGACGAGTGCATTTCAAAAGACGCAAGGTGAAGAGCAGGTCTGTGGATCACATCTGGAGTGCCGATCTAGTGGATATGCAACGGTTTGCCCGAAGCAACAAGAACTACAAATTCCTGCTGACCGTCATCGATCTTTACAGTCGCTATGCCTGGGCAGTACCCCTGAAAACCAAAACTGGCTCTGCTGTCAGGGATGCATTCGACATGATCCTGAAAACATCGAACAGGGTACCACAAAAACTATGGGTAGACGAAGGCAAGGAGTTCTACAATGCAACAATGAAGCAATGGGTCAAGGATCACAACATCATCATGTACAGCACCCACAACGAAGGAAAAGCCGTGGTGGTGGAACGCTTCAATAGAACACTGAAAGGCAGAATGTGGCGCCATTTCACGGAGAAAGCTACGACACAGTATCTTGACGTCCTTCCTCAGCTTATGGTCAAGTACAACAGCTCGAAACATCGCAGTATCGGCATGAGTCCCACGAAAGCTTCTCTTGATGGAAAACCAAAAGATGCAGACGTACACTCGAAGCAATCACCAGCTAAATTCAAAGTGGGTGATGATGTGCGTTTGGCTGTGGCTAAACGTCATTTCGAGAAAGGGTACACGCCCAACTGGACAGAGGAAGTGTTCGTGGTAAACGATGTCCTTCCCACTGTACCCCACACCTATCGTGTTCAAGATCTGATGGGAGAAGTCATTCAAGGACAGTTCTATGGAGCTGAGCTACAACATGCCAGACACACAGGATTGAGATTCGATAAGGTGTTGAAATACAACAAGAACAGTCGGCTCGTCAAATGGAAGGGTTATCAAGACGAAAAATTCCATACCTGGTTAACAAAGAAGGATGTGAATGATCTCAAAAAGTATTAGCATTTCATATGTACAATGTAGCTCATGCTTTGGATTAACGTGAATATTATGAATCGCATAGTATTTACAATGTATTTCATGAGAAGATATGATATATGCTCTAGTATGTGTGGAAATCCCTCAGTGCTTTGGAATATCCTTGTGTCCGAATGCCAGGGTGTTGATACCATCCTCCAGAATGTAACGCTTACTGTCGAATCCACAGAGGGCAATCTTGTGTAGCTCCTCTCCGTGAATGCAATGTCGTCGACTTCGAAGAACATTCATTGTTCTCTTCAGCTGAGACTCCTCGACGAGACATGTTCGATAATCATCGACGGTTATGGTGTTTTTCAACACGCTTCTCTGCACACCTTTGGCACGCTTGCCATTGTCGTCGTTGTCTTCACAGCGGTATGCGTACATCTTGCTCCGCAAACCAATGAACTCCTTGATGGGTTTGCCACCTAGTTCGTCCTTGAACTTCCCTACCACCTTCTTGTTGACCGTGCTGTACAGGTGGTGGGATGGTGAATAGTTGGATGTGTCATAGGCTGTTATGTTGTTTGACATATCGGTGTACAGATCATCCGTTTGAATATGTACGATCAGACTATCAGTATCAGTGTAGAGCAAACGTACATTTTGTCCATAGCGGGGTAGGAGAACTTCATAGTAAAAGGAATACATCAAGTGCTTCGACAGATCGAGGATGGCTGTACCCACATAAATGGGTTTATTGAGAGTCACCTTTGTCCTGGCAAACTCGATTGCTATCAGATCGTTCTCAAAGGCTACACTGCGGATGTACGAAGGTTTGTTGATGCTTTTCTGGAGACGTGGTTTTTCATCCTGTTCACGAATGAGCTTGATGTTTACTCTGTTTCGAACGTTTTCCATGGTCTTGCCATATACAGCATTGTTCATCAACTACGATAAACAGGCATACAAAAAAAAAAGACAAGAAAAACAACAATAAGAAAACTGTTATCTTCAGGTCATTCACACTTCCAGTACATACTAGATCCCACACTATCGCTAAATACACACACACACATGATGTGGAGTACCCACCTTATAGAAGTCTTTCTCGAAATCAGAAGTTGATAGCTTTCTCAGGTCAGTATTAGTGTCGATGTATGGCTTCATCCATGGGTGTTGTGTGAAGGAGAGCACACGATGCACATCTGTAATCTCCACACCCAAGGACACATACTGCTGCAAGTTTCTGTAGTGCAGAACATAGTGCTCTTTCGGTAGTAGATTTGGCACCAGTTTCTTCGCTTCCAAACCGCTCACCTACAAGAGTACAGTATAGATATACACAAACCTTAGAAGATTAATACAAGCATATCCACCAGATAGACCATGACTTACCATTAGTTTCTCTGCCATGTGGGTCTGATATGGAGAAAGCATATCTCGTGTCACCTTCATCTTCTCAGGAGCCAACGGATAATCATTCATCATGTCATGCACACCATCTGGAATCCTTAAATCGCACTCCACCATGTATCCCGTCGAAGAGTCCATTGGATGATCGAGTACCGTCTCCAGAAGATCATCCGTCACTGCTTCAAAGCAGAAGTCCGACACGGGCAAGGGTTGAGACATGGCCCATCCATATAGATTGTTCGCATCTAAATATTGGATGAAGCTTGACGGCTCGTCTGGATTGTATTCCGATAGATATCTGTTGTTGGCGGTGGCGTGTCTAGCGGACACCATGCTTATGCCACCTCTTTTGCCATGCTCAATGAAGTTGAACATGTCAATGTCGGAAATGAGATGAAGGGACACCTTCGTCATTTTCAGCAGCGAATCCCAGGCAAATCCCGGTAAGGTGAGGTAATTAGCGGGATCCAATCCATAGGTTGCGTGAGCAGTTCTTGTGAAGTTTTCGAAAACGTCAGCCAACAGCAGCACATCAGTCTCCAGGTAGAGGTCGTGATAGTCTCCTAGATCTTCACAGTCAAACGCAGTCCATACTGTTTGCGCATAGGCATAGTCTTCATCACTGATACCCTAGGGAATAGAAAATGTACACCAAAAAGAAAAACAAATCAACGAACTTATTTTAGTAGTTCGCCCACACAATCAATTATTTAGTATGAAGCTGCAGGAAGCGTTCAAACACATTTTGGCTTATTTTAGTACTTCGAAGTAAGATGGTAAAAAAAGAAAGAGAGAAAGATCTACTATATCTGTCACACTACTCACCGTGTTCGTTAGCGTTGAGTGGAATGCATCCTTGGGTGGTAGACGCGTTTCTTCGAATTGGTCGTACGACCCCATATATTCATACGGGTAGACACCCTTTCGTGTCAACAGTTTGCGTTCATCCTCGTCTGGAAATCGTGCGGATAGAAGGGCGAATGCATCTGGTGGTGTAGCCGAAACCAACCGGTCTAGGGAGGTGTTCAAGAATGCCAGGCTGTCGATGAACTGGAACTGTCTCCATCCGAATGTGACATATTTTTCACTGTTGATGGGAATCACTTTGATAGCACCGAGACGCTTGGTCTGAGAAGAAGAAAGAAAAAGAGGAGACACAGTTTTAAGGTGCAGCTGTAAAGATGAATATCAATCATATAAACGTGAATATGAGTACCAACATAGTAATGATCTTCCTTCTTAGAAAAACATCATGATCCACGCACACGCACACACACACACACACACACACATACACACCATGCATATGTAACGTACCCGTTCTTGTCCTTTCTCGTTCACATACGTAATCTCATCAGTGGACGTTCTCCCAATGGCAGATATGATGTGATGAGAATCGTATCCCTTCAAGTTATGAAAGATCACAGGAATCTTGATCTTGAACGGCTCAATCCGCATGTTCAGGTTACAATGGTTGTGTGCTGCACCACGGTAAGCACCGGTGATGTGACAGTGGTCACGTACACGATCGCTACCCAACGCTTCACCACAGATCCAACAGGAGACTACCGTTTCAAATTCACGTTGCTGACTTTCTGAAATGATCATTTGACCAGCATTACATGCTAGAAGCTCATCACGGATAATCTCCTCCTCTTGCTCAAGTGACAGCAGAAAACAGAACATAGAATCTTCTCCACGGTAGAAGAAACGGTTCGTGACGACGGAAAATGATCCGAAAAATTGAAATTACAAGTCAAAATACTGCAAAACTATGAGTTCTGATTAATATAAAATTGGAAAAAGTGAGATAACATTGACATTAGAAATAGTAATATTTTAGACATCGGAATGCAATATTATGATGTAGGGCAGGACATAACACCCACCCCTAAAAATCAAAATTAATGATACATGCAGAATTCCAAATCATGACACCATATTACCTTATTGTTTAGGGTAGAGCATAACACCCCAATACATATTTTTCAATAATACCCCCATATTTTATCAGCAAAAAAACCGGGCCAAAAATAATTTTCACCGCAAAAATGGGGTACTATTAGTACCCCATTTTTCAATAATACCCCATTTTTTGGGACCCGGGCGCCCCCTGGCCCAGAACCCGCTCGTTCCTTACTACTCACCCATCCTTCCACCCATCTGTCCGCAGGCCAACTAGGTCGATGTGGATATGGTCGAAACAGCTGTCCGGGGGCGGGAAGGAAGTCGGTGGCCGAGTCACATGACGATGGATCTTGCCGCGTTGGCACTGCATGCATGCCTTGGACCAGTACCACACATCACGTTTCATGTTGCTCCAAACGTACTTGGAAGACACGAGACGGGCAGTTGCCGAGACACCGGGATGCGACTGGTTGTGGAGTGCGTCGAAGGCAAGTCGGCGGAAAGTGAAAACTAAGAACTAGCAGAGTTGAGTAGAAAGAGCACGCGGAGAGGTGAGAAAGGCGTGAAACGCCACAGGACTATGACAGGGATTGTGAGCTGCACTGGTATGAAGCCCATCTCTATGTAGGCTCATTCAGCATGACCATTCTCTTAGCCCGTTACATACAGGAATGTGTGTTTTGTTTCTTTAAAGTTGGTTTTTTTGACGGTGTGTGTGTGTGTGTGTGTGTGTGTTTGTGCATGTGTGTGCATGTGTGTATATGCATGTGTGTATGTACCAGAACCATGCACTACTGTGTGTTGTCTTGGAGGCTGGCGGCACGACTGCCAAGTGAGTACTCGTATATTTGGGTCATGCATGCACATGCACACACACACACATACACACGCACCCACACCCACCCCTAACACACACACACACACACACACACACACACACACACACACGATATGAATTTCGCGCAGAAGTGTGCTGCCCGATGATTGTTGATGCGTGGAACTCAACTGTGAACCACAACCGTTTCTGGATCTTTCTCCTGTGCGACCAGCTGTTTGTGTGTGCTCATGTGGGTATGCGTGTGCACACTGCACAGTGTGCCGCAACTCATAACCTCATGTACATGTTGTATGTATGCGTGTCCATTTGTGTGTGTGTGTGTGTGTGTGTGCGCGTGCGTGTATGTTCCTACGTGTGTGTGTGTGTGTGTGTGTGTGTGTGTGTGTGTGTGTGTGTGTGTGCATGCAAATCTACCTGCGTGAAGGGTGACCGGCCATCCAGGCCCCGTACCGTACTATGTTGACGTGGCTGAGGAGGCTCTGAGCACGCTCAGCAGCCGGGGACTGCTGCAGGCGTGCGACTCCAGGTGAGTTGGCACAGTGTCCTGTTGTTCATTGTGTGGCTTCAGCTGTTGCAAATCTCCTGGTTTGTGTGTGTGTGTGTGTGCGCATGACAGGCCCAAGTCACAAAGTGTTGCACGTAGTATGTGGGCATGATATCTGCAGGGCGGCAGTAGCAGTAGCAGCTGCGTGTGAGGCGTGTGGTGTGAAAACTTGAAAAGCCTTTTAAAATACATCCCTGAATTGGTTTTTCCAGGTCGCATGGCCAGTCACATGACCGTGCAGTCACATGACCGTGCAGTCACATGACCATGCAGTCACGTGACCGTGCAGTCACATGACCGTGCAGTCACGTAGCCGTGCAGTCACATGACCATGCAGTCACATGACCATGCAGTCACGTGACCGTGCAGCCACGTGACCGTGCAGTCACGTGGCCGTGCAGTCACATGACCTTGCAGTCACATGACCGTGCAGTCACATGGCACAGTTGGATCTACTGGGAATGTGTCACATGACCTGAGGCCACATAAATCTATCATGTGATATCGTGTAAGCCAAGAATACCGTCTTGTATGATATGCTGCTTACTACAGTATAGGGCTGCCTAATCATCCCATTGACACAGTTCGGAAATTCACCCACTGTCCGAAAGCCGGCCCGAAATGGAACTTTTCCGATGTCGACAGAAACCGCAAAGATTGTATTGTATGTACAGTAGGTATCGGTTATAGCGTGGGTGTTTGAAAACGACTTTCTATTCTTATTTCCGATATTTCTTACACACGATAAATCAAGTGTGGCATATTATATGCATGTGCACAGGCGCAGGAAGACATGCAACGCAGTACTTCTGTGCAGATGGCTGGTCATAGTCCCATAAGCTTACATGTGGCTATGCAAAATGAGTTCCATGGCCACAACAGTTGAATCTGCAGCACTACGACGCAACGAGAGTCACATCAGAACGGAATTGGACAGATGTTATTAGAGAGGTTCCGCATAACGTAATTACGTTAGTAAAAAACGTAGTCGATCTACGGAAAGTCTTACGTAAACTGCATGCGCATCTGTGTTCCGCCATACGGAGTTTTCAAATCACGTAGCTGCCCTTGGCAACTCCGAACGCGGCAGTGTACGACCAGATCGACCTGGGGAGAGTCATAAATTTGTACCCCAATCCACTTACGGACCAGCTACGTTATCAGAGCCCTATCTACGTACTCTACGTAGACAACTTTCCGTAAGTGGAGTGCAAACTCGCGAATTCACGGGTTTTCCCCGCCCACTAACGTAAAGTTGCTCAACTTTACGTAGTGCGGAACCTCTCTATTACTACAGGCGATACACTTTGTACTAATCTGGCATGTTTCGCTACACAAAGTCCATTCTTAGGACCGATATATTCTACTATGGGATAAAATTGCTTGTAAGAATAAATGTGCACTTGAAATCCGTGTTATGATTATGAAAACATGAGGGTTCATTCTTGTAGGCAGTATATTCTTTTACACGACCACGCTATAACCGATACGCACTGTACGTGCAACAGTACTCTGGGAGAGTTGCATATATCCACCCATGTTGCCTTGCCAGTGACGTTGCCACAGAAGGAAATTTTGACCTTCTATTGGGTGTCAGGAGAACGTGTCCAATTTCTGGTTGATACAATAATTATTATTAAATTGAAACAAGGAAAACGGTGGGGCACAAGTTATGCGTTAGAGTCCACCAGCTAAACCAGGTTTTCGAACAGTCAAAACAGACGTGCACAAGGTAGCACCAGACTGACAAAGAGTACTGAAACATTCCACGGCAAGGAAGGGTGCCCCACCATTTTCCTTTCAATTTTCCTTGGCTCACCATCTGAACACTTGATACATAACTGGCTACTTCAAGTACATTTTACTTGCCTCGGTGCACCTTCATCATTCTTTGTTTGTTTTTTCTTCTGCTCCTGTTGGTCTCATTCAGGATTCAAATGGCTCCTGCGCCTGCAGTCATTACGGCCAGCCAGGCATTATCGGCAACGTCGGCAATGCAGCCCGCCCTGCTCAAGTTTGCACAGCAGCACGGCATCAAGGCTGTGAAAGGCAAGCTGTGTGTGTGTGTGTGTTTGTTTGTTTGTTTCACGAAGCGAGCAATTTGTTTTTTAGTTCAACCCTTAGCCTTCGCCTGTAAGCTAAGACTGTACTTCATGTAGCACGTACCAACAGGACTCATCAACCTATTTTTTTGTTTGTGTGTGTGCACGTGCACGTACGCATGTGTACATGTATGTGCGGGTGTGTTCTAACTCGTTGCTGCTGCAGAGGATGGTACAGACTCCGACCCAGGCTCTGGCCACGCCGGTTCACCGGGACTCTCCAGGGCCATCTTCATGCAGAAAGCAGCATTGCCGCCGGGCCCGGCATCGTCCGGTTTCCGAAAGTCCATCAAGCGACACGGCGGCCCGAAAGCGGCGACCGTCTCCAAGCCACTAGCCAGCCTGGCGCACAGGTAAGGTGCTGATTAGGTATGCTGCTGTGTGGAGCAACAAATCAATACTCCTGTGTTCTATGGTGGTGTGACCATGTCCCTGTGTTCTATGTGGTGGTGTGACCATGTCCCTGTGTTCTATGCCTATGGTGTTGTGACTGTGTACAGCTTGACGGCCGGCGACGGTAACATCCTATTTCACTACATCAACGTGGACGCGGTGGCCGGCATCATGATCTGCCCACTGGTGCAGCATGTACGCGCTGCCACCGCCCAGTCGGCCGCGTCGTCACCGTCCATACACGGGCAGCTGGTGCGAACCTTTCACCGCGCCTGCATCACCATACGGGAAGTGCTGTGCCGTCGCTGCATGCAGGTAAGCGAGTGCAACGTGCACATTGATGAAGTGTGTATCTTCTTTGTTTTGCTGCGGGGAAATTAGAACTAGTGCTACACCCATGGAGAGAGAGAGAGAGGGAGAGAGAGAGAGATGGAGGAGAGAGAAAGAGAGAGAGAGAGAGAGAGAGAGTGAGAGAGTGAGAGAGAGAGAGAGAGAGAGAGAGAGAGAGAGAGAGAGAGAGAGAGAGAGAGAGAGAGAGGGAGGGAGGGAGGGAGGGAGGGAGGGAGTAAGTTACATTTATAAAGACAGGTAAGGCCACACCAAGTTTTTTCATTGTTTCTCGTCACCGCGCGCGTACCTTTCTTGAGGATTGGACCAAAAAAAAAAATCTCGCGTCCCGGTAAACACGCATAAAAAGGCGTTGTAAAAGTACGCGCGGCGTCAAATCTGGAGTGCAGTGCTAGTGCACGAACCGAAGGACGACTTTTGCACCGTGTATGTACGCATACCGGTAGTTCAAGTACCACACCACCACACGACCTGGTCGTCTTCTTTGCTACACACAGTTCCGGTACAAGTCAAGACAGTGCATGACAGTGCACCGTTTTGGACTGACAGTGTTCCGGGCATCGGTAAACTTGCGGCATTGCGGACTACAAGCACTGTGAAGTTGCCGTGATTCCTTGAGTTCTTTATCAGTTCATCTCGTCGTGGGCGACGATGGCATCTGAAATAGTCAGCTTCGCTGTGACTGTGGATAGCAGAGAGATACTTTCTTGGAACGCTCAACTTAGTGTAAATAGCAGTTTTTGTTTTTCAAACCCTATTTTGTTTTTTTTCCGCCCGCCCGCGTTCCTTTTGAGATTTTCAGGTGACGAGAAACAATGAAATAACTTGGTGTGGCCTAAGTCTAACAAATGAGAGAGAGAGAGCCGGCAGTGCAATGCATGAGCCGTGTATCTGCCATATAGCAACCCTGACTATAGACAGGACACGCATCTCTTCACTATCGTGCTATCTGGCGGACGATAGTTTTTACTTCTCCTCAATCATTCGAATGCTGCACGAGCACTCCTACTTGTTAGCAGCATCCATTTCTCATGGATGTTGACAGGGCCGCATCTCACATCGAGTGTGTCTGTGTGCTACCGTCTTGCCTGTACTCAGGACCAGATAGACAACCCGTTTTCTCGCCAGAACGCGTTGCGTGGCGTTTACGAGCATGGTATGCTGTTGCAGATCAACCCGGCCGCTGACAAGTCAATGGGCAGATCGACAGCAGGTAGTGACAAACAGAGGAGCTCAATCGCCGTCAACTACTGGGTGGTGGGGTAAGTCTGCTGAACGTTGGCGACGCGATATGTGTGTGTTCCTGTATCATGCTTTTGAGCAGACCTCTCATGAGTTACACGCAGCTGGCTGCGTACATAGACAAGAATTTACATTTTGCTGTTTGCATACATAGACAAGAAGTTACATTCACCTGTTTGCATGCATAGACAAGTAGCAGTTGCAAACACCAGGCACAGACACGTCCATGGTCGGGAGCAAGGGATGCACGTACTGTGCAACCGGTGCATCCGGGAAATACGGTTGAATTTCTTTCTTTTCATTTCTACGTCTGAGCGATATTGTTCACTCGTGCTACCATGCCCGCAGCGAAGTATCTCCCGATATGAATGCCTCGATCTGCTTCTCTGTGTCTCTGCAGGCGACTTTTCCGGGAGCCAGTGCAGCGCGAGTTCTATGTCTGCTTCCAGGAGTCAATGTCGCAGAACGCCGTGGAACTAGCGTTCAAGCTATGCTTCGGTGCGGTCACCTAATAACGACAACGGACGGCGCACTGTACTATCCGAAAGCGACAACACGTCTCAAGCAGACAGGCAGGCAGTCAACATGCTGGGCAGAGGGCCGAAAAGCATGCAGGATCACGCCAACGGCAAGCGATGACCACACCGCCGCTGAACAGGCAAACGAGAATGAAAAGAGCTCACTCTACGAATGATCTTTAGGAGACTTGAACACTTTCCATTTACAATTTGAACAGAAGAAAAACAGCCATATGGGGACACACTCTCAAACCGGAAAACAAGAGTTGACTGTACACAGCATGACGCGGCATGCGAATCAAGTTGCCAAGCACGGCGGGCACATGCGCAGATGTGCTCGGAATGTGGAGCTACAGTGCTGCCCAATGGAATCCGTCGGAGCGCTCCGAACGCCTCGCAGCTCCGGGCCCCGTGCTGTGCACTTTTTCACGGCATTGGATTTCATTGAGCAACACTGTATTTTGTCGTAGTAGCTGAGAAAAATCACTAATGTCTCGACGCTTGATTTAATCATGACAATGCTCCTAGCAGCGGCAGCAGCAGCAATTATATATTATCACAGCCAATACCTTTTTAGATGAGAACGGAAAGTATTGAAAAATATATAATTATGGTGGCAGCTAAAGTGGTGCAGTGCATGTCGTGCGTATGTGTTACGTGTGCATGTACGGTTTGGAGTCTATGCTGATGCTGCGTGGCCAACGCGATCCCGGGGTATTAATCTCAGCTCGGATCCATGCTTAAGAAATACGTTGCCTACATCAACAACAGCAGCACAACACAGCATAAAGCATATCTTGGGCACTGTCCGTAGCCATAGCAATGGCGATTACAAAACTTTTCGTGTGTGTGTGTGTGTGTGTGTGTGTGGGCCATGGCTTGTACAAGCGCACTGCATAGCAATTATTAGGAAGCAAAGTGAGGAGCACGCAAGGCAAGTAATCTTCAGTTGAACACACTACTGAGTCCTGCCCATGAGTAGTATCCTAAGGGTCCATAATCCCCCAGAGTGTGCAACTTCACTTAATTATCAGATCTGGGACGGCGAAATCCGTGTTGCACGTCATAGTATGACATCATGAGCAGGGGAAGTGTGGACCGTGGTGGACCGCGTCGACAGAATGACACAAGTCCGACCCAAAAAATGACGTACATGTACATCACGGATTACGCCGTCCCACAGCCCCATCCCAGTTGCGCACTCTGGGGGATTATGGACTCTTGGTAGTACAGCTGTACATGTATCCTAAGAGGGATTGGTTGCTCACGAACATGTTCCTTCACCAAGAAACTAACTTCAGTGTTCCCCTGTACACACACCCCAACCGTACATTATCCTACAACAGTGTGTTAGCCAAGCAATCACAAAGGAGAGGGATTGCTTACCGGCTGTTTGCTGTGGGTTGATACCAATTCCATCTGGGGAGACAACAGAAAAGATACGGCCACAATTCCAGTTACCGTATTCCACAAATCGCGGTCAGACACCATCACACATTACTGTATAACACACAGTCGTACGGAAATTATTCTGTCGGTACGAATAAAGTAGGCGTCAGATGCCCGAAGAACTTCAGGTGCGACTTGGAAGTAGGTGGCTGGTATCTACTACTAGTACCTTCAAGTACAAGGCATACTAGTACTACAGCGCTTTTACTTTCGGAGAATCTTAGTTTACCCAGTGTTAGTGGCTGTCGTGAGTTCCCTTTGGCAGCGGACACGATAATTTACTCCGAAAATACGTTTTATGATAAGCCACACTCACTGGTAACTTACCGTTAGTAATGATAGCACTGGTTGCTGGCGGCACTTTGAACTGCACATAGAGCCAGAAGAAGAGAGAAGAAAAGGCATTATGTGGACAACAGACCCACCCCACTAAAGCAGAAGATCATTCACGGTCGGCAGCCAGAATGTGACGAACAGAGCATTGCACGCCAGGATGCTTAGCCCGGCTACAGGCACAGAGACAGCATGTGTACCCACCGCAGCGCTAGCCAACACAACGGAAATAAGCCACACGGGATGTATGCATCACTTTCCCACCATTTGGTTGTGCGGGCCAAGTCCAGTACAACCGAACACACTGGGATAGCAGTCCTGCATAAATGTCATAGTCACAAGTGTACTAGAGCGGGCTGTTCCTGCTAAACATACATAGGACAAGCTGCCCCGCAAGAAGGCTGCGGCCATTTTCGATGCATACCTCCCATTGAAATCACTGCACAAGAGACTACACTGTGACCGGCAACGGACATGGGAATCTCATACAGGTACTCTCTAGAAAAATCCACGGTTCGCTAACTGAGTTTTCACCACTCGTAGGAACGCCACCACCCTGCACCCTGCACCACCCTACTCTCTAAGCACAGTGCTAAAACGGCGCATCGTTTCCCTACCTCCTCTGCCGCGTATCTCAGTACGGCCGTGAAGGGAGTCGGCTCCGGCACGCTGAGTCTGCAAACAATCAACACAATACCAAGCACACACAGAACAACAGGCGTGGGTTGGACAACAAGGCAAGGGAACCGGATAACCGAACACCGGTTTTGTTGGAGGCATCACGTATGCTGTACATCTGAAACCGGCCATTTTCCTCCGGATGGCGAGGGATCCGGATAAGCGAGGACCGGATAAGCGAGGTCCGACTGTAGAGTGCAGAACCCGGCGGAAATGGTCCGGTTGGTCAGGCCATGGCCGGGCCAACTGTTTGGTCCGGTTGGTCAGGCCATGGCCGGGCCAACTGTTTGGCCACTACCACGTGTTAGCTGTTTTAAAAGGAGGTCATGGGTACCTTCAATATCATACACAAAGCATGAAAGACTAGGGTATGTCATGGGCACCTTCAATATCATACACAAAGCATGAAAGACTAGGGTATGTCATGGGCACCTTCAATATCATACACAAAGCATGAAAGACTAGGGTATGTCATGGGCACCTTCAATATCATACACAAAGCATGAAAGACTAGGGTATGTCATGGGCACCTTCAATATCATACACAAAGCATGAAAGACTAGGGTATGTCATGGGCACCTTCAATATCATACACAAAGCATGAAAGACTAGGGTATGTCATGGGTACCTTCAATATCATACACAAAGCATGAAAGACTAGGGTATGTCATGGGCACCTTCAATATCATACACAAAGCATGAATGACTAGGGTATGTCATGGGCACCTTCAATATCATACACAAAGCATGAAAGACTAGGGTATGTCATGGGTACCTTCAATATCAGACACAAAGCATGAATGACTAGGGTATGTCATGGGTACCTTCAATATCATACACAAAGCATGAAAGACTAGGGTATGGCTGGAGAGCATCCGAGAGCATGAGCTGATTGTTTAGTAACTGCTGGTGTCAGTGAACATTATAGCGTAACTTGCAGTTCCTTGATCCTTTTTTCTTTTCTATAAAGTATGAAAGACTAGGGTACAGCTGGACCAATCAAACTGCTTCCGCCGGTCCTGCAGTGCTGCTTGATGAAATCCAATCGCGTGAGTCTAGTGTGCGCCCTGCAACCAGTACACATCCCAGTGTTTGCAGGCCTAGGGCTGCACATACAGCGCCCGACGTGGCATTCACTCGCTTGATCGGATTTCATTGAGCAGCAATGTAGTTCGTACTAGTTCCACACGCTTGTGTAACCAGCAGCCAACAGAGCACTACACGTGCATGACACCCTTCAGGCGACGGGGCAAGACCTAGCAGTTCACTCATTCGCACCACATTCATTATACTCGTGCATTTCTTGGATAGGGCGAGGACAGCGGCGTGCTAGAAGCTCGCACCCTTCAAACACGGGCACGATTCGAGTCTGAGGTAACTTTATATGATTTACTATCGCCACATGAGTACTAGTAGCCGTATCAGCACATGTACGTGCACTACTACTGTGCTGATGGTGATTGCAGGGGGGAAATTGGTCATGCCTGCATCATAAAGCAGGTGATAGGTAGACTGCCAACATAGCACAATGGTGACAACATGGCCATGGGTGCAATGGCATGGGTATACTACACACTATGCCACAGCCACTTCCAGGCTTCATATCTAGTCCCAGAAGCCAACAGCTACATTCTCATTCTCAGTCCATTCAAATGTACCATCAGCAAAAGTTTCTTTGTCTACTAGTAATAGTATAACGACAACACCAGCATCTGTAGTTGTCTGGCGACCTGGGCTCAAAGCTTAGTAAGCTTACACTTTGAAAGGCAGCTTTGGATCTGACGTGAGCGTGATTTTGAAGGATACCTTCGACCTGAGGACGGACAGAAGGATCAAGAACGGCCCCCACTATCAGTAAGGCAAGAAATTCAGCCATATCGTGCAGTATTCATTGACAATACGTACATGTTGGCGAACTAAGGTGGAAGACGCCAGTCGAACAACAGAGATCGCACTGATCCTTATTCTTCAAGGAGTTCTAGCTATGTGATTGCTGAAACAGCAAGCTTGGAGAAAAACTAAAATCTTCACCGAAAAGAAACTGGCACGAGTACGTGTATCAGCAGCTTCTTCATCTCTCGAGATGACTTTCTTTCTTTCTTTGAAAATCAATCGTATTTTATGCTGTTTTGTAGTTTGGTCATTTATGACGTAGATGCTGTGCTGACGTGGCCGTCTATTTCGGCTATGACTCATATCAAGAGTGCATAAACATTTATGGACTCTTGCTCATATCAAGAGTACATAACACACTGGGGTTATGTACTCTTGCTCATATCAAGAGTAGATGTTTATCTACTCTTGCTCATATCAAGAGTATAATGATGTACTCTTGCTCATATTAATTTTGTCATAAGTCATCTGGTCATTAGTATGACCAAGACTATTATAACCCCCTGGTAGATCTACTAGTATACTGGGGGCTACTACTACTCTTGGTATGACTCAAGGGCATAGGCCAGGGCTCATACCAAGACAGCCCCCCCCCCCGGGATGTGATTGTACTCCTAGGTCCTACTCAGTGCTCATACCAAGAGTATACTAGTAACCCCCCAGGAAGCTTATACTCTTGGTAATACAGTACAATGGTTGGGGGTTAACCGTTATGTACTCTTGCCATCTTGGTACAATGTAATCGAACACTTGCCCATACATAATAAATTGTAGTATGCCTCTGCGTGCGACCAAGGGTAGAACAGCTCATAAAAATATACTCTTGGCATGACGCCACTGCCGGGCCTGCACTACTGGTGTCATGGTTTTTCAAAGCCAGACTCAAACGTAAACCAGACCCGAATGTACCTGTAAGTGAGCTCTGCTGCATAACACAAAACAGCATAGGCACTACCAAGAGTACATAACCCCCCTGTACTCTTGGCGCTACGAGTACACCACACGAGAATGCTCGACTACTACTCAGTCTACAAGAGCAGGAGAGAAATGCTCATTATAGTTGTACAGTCATGTAGCTTCCCTATGGTATACATGTACCAGTACATTGTAGAACCAGGGAATATGAACCGGGAGAACACTGGATTAGGTACCACACACACTCAACAGCTACACACGTGTTTATGGGTGCGCTGACGAGTCCACAAAGGACGAAACAGTTCTGCCCGCAGATCGAGTGTTTATGGGAACAAACACATTTTCTTTGAGAAAGCCTAAATCAACAGATCAATCACCTAATAAAGCTGATACCGGTATCTGAAATAAATATAGAAGAGACGGGGGGGGGGGGGGGGGGGGGGGGGGGGACATATTCAGAAGTTTCAGGGAATCGAAGCGGGGAAATCCTCACACGGCACGCACATACATGTACACCCACGGTACTGGGACACGCAGTGTACACCGTGCATACCACACGGATACAAATAAAGTACTGAGAAAGACAAGCGGCGGTACAGCCTACAGGCACAGATCAAAACGAGCTTGTATGTTCAGGGACACAAAAAGCGGATATCAGTTGAAGAATAATTTTTTTACGTTCATCTCAACACCTTCACTTTCTTTGACATGTTTTCAAAAGTTCACGTGGCAGCTTCCGAAAGCTGTAATCACTTCTTGGAGCCGACCACCTCGAATGGAGAGCCAGGAACGTGTTCTCCGTGCCACTTGACGTTTACAAGGAAGGTGCCCTTCTCGACGACAACGAATTTGCATTCGAACTTTTGGTCTCCCTTGTGCTCGATGAAGATCTGGTTGGCAGGCAGAGTGGGACCGTTGATACCGATCTCCAGGAAACCCGAGCCACCGGCCTTGCTGCCGTCGATGGAGAACGTGTTGATGGGACCGATCTGGACGTTGGGTCCAAGGTCCTTGACGATGACCTTGGTCGAGTCTGGATCCTCCGGAACCACGTGGATACGCACGGGGCTGTGCGGAATCTCCTTACCCTCGAAGTTGATGACGACGTCATAGTCCCCAGCCTTGGGAGCGGTCAGGACGATCTCTTGCGGCTCGCCGGGCTTGGAGCGGACGTCGACCTTTGGCTGAGCGGGGCCGCCGAATGCCAGCGACACGGTGCCCTTGCCCGCCTTGGTGGCGTCGATGAAGAAACGCGTCTCCGTGTTCACCAGCACGTCCTCCTCCAGCGCGGGACCGTAGACGCGCACGTTTCCGGCGTTCAGTCCCTTGTGCTGACCGATGGGCGCGCCTTGTCGCGGCTCGGCGTTGACAAACTGGGAGAGGTAGGTCATCATACTTTTCTCATCCACATTCGGATTAGCCATGTCCTCCGGGCTGATCAGAGGGGTGACACCCAACCAGTCCTTGGCAAGACCCATCGCAGTCTTCAGGTTTCCGACGGGGTCGTCAGAGAGTGAGTCCCAGTCAGGGAACAGGCCGGGTGCCACGGCATCCACCAAAGCAGGCAGGAGCTTGCCATCGTTCCAATCCTTAGTCAGGTTGTTAGGCCTGAGGTTTTTCGGCTTTAGCTTATTCCTGAGCCACTCCAAGAGCCACTGCAAGGGAGACTGGCCGGTCTTATCACCAATATAAGCAGAGATCTGATACTTGAGAATGATCGACCAGATCAAACCCAGAGTGAGCTTATTGTTGCCAGACTCGACATCTTCCGGCCCAATGTTGACCAATTTCACGCCATCAGCAGTGATCTTCCTCAACGCCAAGCTGGTGTTCTCGAGCTTCTGCGAGCGGTAGCGAGGGAACTTGTTGATGCGACCCACGGAGTCCTTGGTCAGCACCTCTACAAGGAAGCAAAGCCTCACGCCATCACGTAAGTCTTCGAACAAGTCCACGACAGCCTGCTGGCGCTTTTCCAAGTGGATGTTTACCCAGCGTTCAAAAGTCTTTTTCTGCACAGCGACCCATGGCTCTACTGCAGCCATTCTGCGGAACTCCACAAAGCTAGAGGCGGTGAGAAGATATCTAGAAAAAAAGTAACAAGCAGAAGAAAGTAAAAAGTGCGGGAAAGAGAAGAGAGGAACAACGTCCAAGCCTGGCAGAAAGCACCAACTGAAACTGCTTGCCAAGGACTGTTATTTTTTCACTACGTACAATACCTCCTTTTTAGCAGTTCGCGGTTCTGAACGGGTGGTTTCGTACGGTAGTCTTCTACGGTGGTTCAGTGCTGAATCTGCTGATTCGGCCTTTTAGCAATCCGCGATACGGTAGTTCGGTACGGTAGGTCGGGTTAAAAATCTGGCTCCTGGCCCGGCCTCATCCGTACCTGTGGGCTGGGCAGGGCAGTTCATCCAGCAAGCCTCCACCTCCGGATAGGGGAGAGTACGAGTAGCTGTGGCCTTGTACTGGCTCCATCACCAGCATCAGGAACAATCTAATCGCCAAGCTCGATGAAAGTGTGGCACAATGTACTACGGATGAACTATTACCGGTAGCAAGAGTGGAGGTTATGTAACTCTTGCCGGTACTTACTGATCTCTCCTGTACGAGTGACTTCCACTGGTCTACCATATCCATGACAAAATGGGCTGACCTGGAATACCACATTGTGGTATTCCAGGCCAGCCCATTTTTTAAAAATTATGTGTCCGGTCACCAGCCCACCATGTACCAAAGCGTAGCCCTTGCGCTTGCGGGTGATTTCACTATGCTGAAAACGCACAT